CTCCTGCTGCCCGGTGCAACGGTGCTGAGGCCTCAAACCACTCTCTGACAGAGAAACAGCAAAGTGTCTCCTGCAGTCTCAGTATGGCCCTGGAAACCTCTTTCTGGAGAACAGACTTTCTCACATGGGCGCTGTGCGTGTGGTTCAGGCTGTCTTGGGGGATCCCTGGCTTTGCTAGTGACTTCCCATTGGAGATGGTGGCTTTCTCCTAGCCAGACAGAAACACGTGTCCTCACCACTACCTCCCCGAGACCCCGTGAGTTTAGGATCCAGGTGAGAGAGATGTCGCCAGGGGTCCTCTGCACTGCTCCCCTGTCTGCAGGAGGAATCACAGAGCTGCCTCCTGTATGGAAGTAGAAGTGGTAAGTCTGGCTGAGCGACTGCTCCCCTGTCTGCAGGAGGAATCACAGAGCTGCCTCCTGTATGGAAGAGGGAGCCAGGACAAAATTGGGACAGGTGGTTTCTTGCTGGCTGGCAAACCCTTCAGCTTGAGTGGCAGTTCCAAAACCCTCCATTTTATCTGTCTGGCACTAAAAAATGGTAGCATCCTGTGGTAGGTCTGGCTGAGCAAACTAGATTCAGCAAAGATAAGGGATGGGAAGTAAAAAAGCCTAGATGTTCTTTTGCTTGGGCTGATCAGCTCCTTGTGCAAGAAGGTCCGACCCTGCAGGACTGAGGCAGCAGGTTGTCCCCTTTCAGCCAGTCTCTCATGGACCGGTGAATGGGGATAGACTTGGATGTGCTGTGAGAGACATAGGCAGTAAAATCAGGAGCCAGAAGCAGGTACTGGGCACTGGCACTGAACTCAGGGGGATAGACTTGGATGTGCTGGGAGAGACATAGGCAGTAAAATCAGGAGCCAGAAGCAGGTACTGGGCACTGGCACTGAATCACAAAATCACAGAATCACAGAATCACAGAATCTTCTAGGTTGGAAGGGACCTTAAAGATCATCTTGTCCAATCGTCAACCTAACTGACAAAACTAGACACCCACACAACAAACAAGGAGCATCATCACTAAACCATACCTCCCAGCACTACATCAACCCGTCTTTTGAACACCTCCAGGGATGGTGCCTCAACCACCTCCCTGGGCAGCCCATTCCAATGGCTGACAACCCTTTCAGTGAAAAAATTTTTCCTAATATCCAGCCTGAACCTACCCTGGCGCAAAACTCAGAAAATGGTAGCATCCTGTGGTAGGTCTGGCTGAGCAAACTAGATTCAGCAAAGATAAGGGATGGGAAGTAAAAAAGCCTAGATGTTCTTTTGCTTGGGCTGATCAGCTCCTTGTGCAAGAAGGTCCGACCCTGCAGGACTGAGGCAGCAGGTTGTCCCCTTTCAGCCAGTCTCTCATGGACCGGTGAATGGGGATAGACTTGGATGTGCTGTGAGAGACATAGGCAGTAAAATCAGGAGCCAGAAGCAGGTACTGGGCACTGGCACTGAACTCAGACATGGGTTAAGTTTCAGGACAGGAGAACACAGGGAAAAAATTGTCAAGAAAAAAAATAGCAAAAATGTGCTTGGAATACATCTTGTCTGCTTGAAAGCCTAGGAGATAAGCATTTTGTCAAAGTTAGGTTGATGGTTGGACAAGATGATCTTTAAGGTCCTTTCCAACCTAGAAGATTCTGTGATTCTGTGATTTTGTGAGATAAGTGTGAAGGCTATGTCTAGAGCTTGGGTGCATTGTCAAAGCGGCACTCCCCTGTGTGCTGCCTAGCTCTTCAGGATGATGCTCCTCTGCCCAAGCAAGTCCAAACTGATCCATTTCCTTGTGGATGTAATCCAACAGGGAGTCTCCATGGGATGAGGAGCTGCCAAGCAGGAGAGAGCTGGAAAGTGCCTTGAGTTCTGCTTTATCTGGTCTCTTGAGGGTTGTCTGTCATACTGTGCCCTGTGCTGACCTGGAAGGGACAGCAGCATAGAAAGGAGATTTCCCGACTATGCTTTTTGGTTGGGGTTTGTTTTGGGTTTTTTTCATTTCAAAAGGTTGGGGATTAGTCAAAGATGGAAGCCTGCTGCACATTTCTGAATTTTGGGAGATTTGAATCTCAGATACTGCAAGCACACCAGGGCTTCCACGTTGCTTTAGGTAAAGTAACAGAGCTTTCTGCAAAGAAGCAAAACCTCTTGTCAGTCTTTTTTTTTTTTCACTGCGATAAACGCTGCAAAGCCCTGCATAAATCCTGGGACAGAAAACCAGCCTCCTGCCCTCAGAGGGGCTGCAATTGGGAATGTCATTGCAAGGTTTGCTGCATGAGCTACCTGCTCTCTGTGAAGTTACTAAAACGGGTCTTGGAGAGGGATTTTTGGTTTTGGGGTTTTTTTGGCTGTGATTCTCCCCTGTCCCCCCCCAAGCCTTCTGGATCCCACAGGGTGAAGCTGTGTGGCCATTGAGGAGGAGAGCAGCAGTGTCCATGTGAAGTGTTTGCCCTCTGTCTGGTCCCCCTCCACGCGTGGGACCCCAGAGTGGGCTCTGTGGGGTCGGTGGGGGAGGCAGCAGGAGGGGTCCTGTGCACAGCTCTTGGTCTGCTGCTGTGCTTTGGTTGTTGGTTTTTTTCGGGGAGAGATTTAAAAACACAGCTCCTCGTACCATTGTTAATCCCTAAGTGTCACCCAGAGGAGTTAGAGGCTACCTGAAGGTGTGGGTTAATTAAGCCTGACCCTCTGGTGTGAAGTGCCCTTTGCCTTGAAATTTCACCATGAAAAGAGCGGCCAAAGGGTGTGAAACGAGGAGGAGGAGGCTCTCCTCTGCTGGACCCAGCAGGGGCTTTGAGGTGTGAGCACATGGCACTTTGCACCAGGAAGGTCCCTCTTGTGGGGGGAGCCCCCCTCTTGGGGACCCTCTCGCACCAGCACCGCACGCTGCACCAGGGCTGTGGTCCCTCTTGGGACTGGGTTTGGTGCTGTGGGACTCGAGGAGCAGCTGGGGCTGGGCAGCCTTCCTTGCTTCCTCGGGGAAGAAAACCCTCTGATCCCACAGCCTCAGCTGCTCCCTCTCCCCGGCCCCTTTGTTCGACTTGCCTTCGTTTTCTGTGCAGGTTTTCACTGCTCTTGCTTATGCATGGTGGTGATCATCTTCCCACCACCTTAGTTACTGCCTGAACCCTTTTGTTTCGGGTGAGGATGCTGAGAATTTTCTCAGATCCTCCTCCACGAAAGCTCACTCCTCCCTATGAAGTCCTTTATGCCCGAGACAGGTGATGAATGCTTTTGAAAACGATCCTCCTCCACGAAAGCTCACTCCTCCCTGTGAAGTCATTTATGCCCGAGGCAGGTGATGAATGCTTTTGAAAACCTTGGTTTGACACTTGCATGTTAAAACCTTCATTTGAAAGATATTTGTGGCTGTTTCAAGAACCTGCATAGCTCTCCAGCCGCAGGTCCATTAACCAGTCTGGATTAAACATTTTCCAGACTGATTATTTATTAATCAGGCAAATCTGTTTGGGTGGAGGTGATGTTTGAAGCTGCTGCTCCTTGGGCACAGTATTTCACCTGTCCCTGATTCGTGTCCCATGCTGGGTGCAGATACCGCAGGGTCGGGGGGGTGGCTTGCATGGTGAGGGAGTCCTTTGGCTCAACACTGCTCCGAGGATGTGGAGGAGAAAAGGTAGAGGAGAAAGGATTTGGCAGCCTTGGTTTCCAGGCTGGCAAAAAAACCCCCTTCAGCCTCCTACAGTGATGCCCTATGAGTTCCCTTCCGCCCGCTCTGTTCCCCTGCACAGGGTTTGGGTCTGAAGCTGCTGCTGCAAAGTCGGGTCCTGGATTGGAAATCCTTACTTTCAAACCACTGGTATGCTTGGGTTTGTGGGTATGATCCTGTTGTTTTTCGAAAGTACTCGAGCAACTTGCGAGCCCGTGCTTGTGCTCAAAGCCACGTGGGCTTTTGAAGCGCTTCTGCCCGAGGGAGGCCAAACCGATTTCTCCTTGGGCGCCTCATTGCTCAGGGAGGAGAGTGGAGAGTTTCCTTCGTTAACTGTGCCTGCCCTGGGATGAACGTGCCCTGCTGCAATATTGGCTCCCCTTCCCGTCATGGTGACAACCATCCTGGTTTAGTTTTCCTGGCAAGCCCCCCGGGACAGATGGTGGGTCCTGCCGCGCTCCGACTGGCAGAGGACCATCAAAGCAGGGGCTGTGCACCGCAGATGTTCAGCAGGTGAGCTGGAGGAGGCCTTGCAGGAAGCATCTCTCACCATCCTGCCATCGGTGAACAAGGCTGTGTGTGTCACAGCCACGTGCTGGGCCAGCAGCCCCCCTTCCAGGGCCTGGGGAGCATCCTGCCAGGGCTTGGTGTGGGAGCCGGAGCGGGTGGCAGAGGGGCAGACCTTAGCTCATGGTGCCACCCTGTGCTTTGCAAGTCAGGTCTGGTGGGTGCGTGCTCAGGGTCCTGCAGCTGTGTTGTGTCAGAGCTTAGGAAGAAGGTCCCAAGTCCTGGCTGCAGAAAGGTTTTGCTCTGTGGTGCTCGTCCTGGCTGTAAGCTAAAGCACCGCCGGGGTTTCTCTCTGTAGCAAAGGTCCCTTCTTCCAGAGGAGCTCATCTCTTTTTTGCTTTTCTCTGCTGCTCCAGGAAGCCCCAGCTGGTTGCTCTCTGTAAACTTTATCACAGAACTGAATCCCAAAATGCCCGTGCATGGGGTGGGATGGGGGGGGACACCCCCCAGCATCACATCTGCCCTCCTGGAGCCTTCCACAAGGAGGGGGGGAGCTGAGCTGGGTCCAGCCGTTCCTCAGCCGTTTTGGCTGCCCCCATGGTTTGCAGCTGGCTCAGATGCCATCGTCCCTTGGGGGGGGATATTCTGGGGGGGGGTGTCCTTGCTCCCGTGGGTGCTGCTGGGGGAGGGTGTTTGGGCTCGATCTCAGTCCATCACAGGCACACCAGCCCAGTGTGGTGACACCAGAGTCCAGCTGCAGGTAAGAAACTGCTGATGTCAACTGTTAAATTTAAGTCGCTTAATTGGTTTTTTTTTTTATTTGTTTGTTTTTAAACTAGGATGGAGAGGAAGAATTTAACCGTGCTAAACTGATGAATATAGGATTCGCAGAGGCTTTGAAAGAATATGACTATGATTGCTTTGTGTTTAGTGACGTAGACCTCATCCCAATGGATGACAGGAACACCTACAAATGTTACAGCCAGCCGCGACACCTCTCCGTTTCCGTGGATAAATTCGGATTTCGGTGAGGAACGCCTTTTGGAGGGGCGTTTTGTTCCCAATTCCGCCGTTAGCCAAGCAGGCCAGGCGCAGCGTTGCACATCCCCACCCACCATTGAAAGCCTGGGAAAATGTCTCTGGCAAAAGCCTGTCCTGGCTCCCGGCGGAGAGCAGGATGGGCTGGAGGGGAGGAAGGGGAAGAGGCGCAGCTGCCAGCGGGTTATGGAGACTCACAGCGTCTGGAAAGTGGGACGTCGGGCGAGGAATAGCCACGAGCCCGTCGTTTCGCAGGTGCCCGCGTTCCCCTTCTTGTGTTTCAGGCTGGAAGCTGGAAGACAGCTAGTGTTTCCACCCCGTCTGAAAAGTGAGACGCTCTCACACAGCAGGAATTATGTGCAGCCTCAAAAAGACTACATCAGATGCTATTTTAAGAGCAAAATGAAATATTTTTGGCTATTTGATTTCGGGCCTGCCCCGGTATCTGAGAGCAACGCAGAATGAAATACCTTTCAGCATACATTTGGGTTCAGCAAGCTGCTGCAAACAAAAATGTGTCTGGCTTTTCCTTTCCTTTCCCTTTTATTTTTTTTTTTTCCTTCTATCCCAGATCCCCAAGGGGGAGTTTGAAAGCTGATCTATAAAGTGAAAACTGGTCATGCCCCCATGGTGGCCAGTAGTGCTAGAGACACAACAGTGGTGCTGGTGGCCAGACCCCTGCAGGTCTCCACTCCTGACCCAAGCCCTGCTCGGGGCAGGACCATCCCCAGCACCCCAGCAGCTGCAGTTTTTCTCTTGCAGCTTGGTGAAGCTTAGAGCAGAAATGCAGCCCCCAGGGGCTTCTCCTTCTTGCTGGACACAGAGATAAGGTCTGCGGTGATCCCTGTGTGAGCCCTCTCCTGGTGCTATGGGTCTGAATTTGGTCTCTTCTCAATCCCTTGGTGAATGGCCCCTGGTTTTGAGCAGGAGCTGGTTGGTTTGTGCGTGCAAGGTCATGCTGCTGGCTCACTTTGGGCTGCAACCTTTACTTTGGGCCCTGGGGGAGCGCGGAGGTGAGTGGTGGAGCTGCAGGATGAGAAGGCTTTGCAGCACCTCCGGTGCCTTGCCGAGTTCTTCCTGCTCCCTGGGCATGTGTGTCACCATCTGTCCTTGGGCGAGGTGATGTGCATCTCAATGGCCTGTCCTTTGAGGACAGTGCACTTCTCAGTGTGCTGCAGCCATTGCCAGTTGCAGAGTTCTTCCCAGCTGGATTTGGGACTGAGCCCACCAGCACCCTCTGCTTTGAGTGAATCCAGGGCACCAAAACTGTTCCCTGCTGCATGGAAGCACCGCGTGGAGGATGCTGGCTCATTGTGGGATGGGGTTGGAGGGCAGCGGCAAGCCCTTTTCGGGTGGGCGTTCTGTTCCTTGGCTAGCACCTCTCCTCCTCTAATGGCCCTTTCTCCCCACTTCCAGGTTGCCTTACAATCAGATTTTCGGAGGTGTGTCTGCCTTGAGCAAAGCGCAGTTCACAAAGATCAACGGGTTCCCAAACAATTACTGGGGCTGGGGTGGCGAAGATGATGATGTCTATAACAGGTAAATAAATCACCCCTTTGGCACTCGCAGTGCCCTCAGGGGTGGGGATGAGCACGGACCTGCTGCATTCACCCCAGTGTTGGGGGGACACAGGGTGTCCTCTCCCTCTGATGCCCGGAGCACCCCACTCCAGGGTCGGGGGCAGAAGTGGTGTGTGAGCGACCTGCTGGCTCGGTGAAAGCGTGGTCCCCCTGGGTGCTTTCCCACCCCCTTTCGCAGCTCCCAAGGTGTGCTGGGGACGTCTTTTCTGAATTCAGGAAGGGTCTTCTAGAAGTGCTTGTATCTTCCTGGGGTTGAGTGCTTCTGTTTAAGAAGCCAAGTGAGGGACAACCTTCCCGTAGGGCAGGCCATTCAGAGCAAGGTGGCAGTTCCTCTCTTTTGGGGGCACTCGGGTTTTGAGGAGCAGAAATTGCCATATAGAAATGGAAAGGGAGATGTAAAGGGGAAGAAACCAGGTACTTTTCCTGCATCGGTGTCCATGAACTGCGGGTGTCTTGCAGAGAGCATGAAAATAAAGACCTGGTGAGTCCCAGGTGGGACCGTTTTGGCTCTGATGATGTGTGTTCCCCCCCTCCCCCTACGCTGCTTGCCC